TATGTTGGCTTTAAATATTTTGTTACTTTTATTGATGCTTAGTCTCGTGTTAGTTGGGTATATTTATTGAAATAAAAAACAAAAACTTTCCCTGTATTCAAAGAATTTTCCAAGATTTTCACTCAATATAATTGCACGATTAGAGTTCTGCTGACTGATAATAGCACAGAGTATGTGAACAAAGCCTTTTCTGTGCATTTACTGAATCTTGGTATTATACACCAAACATCGTCTATTACAACACCTCAACAGCATGGAGTTGCTGAAAGAAAAAATAGATATGTTTTGGAAGCAACAAGGATTTTTATGTTTCAGATGCATGTTCCAAAAATTTATTGGCTTGAAGTTGTTTTAACTGCTTGCCATCTGATTAACAGACTTCCAAGTAAAATTCTTAAAGATAAATCTTCCCTTGAAATTTTAAAAAATGAAAAAATTGATTTGTCTCATTTATGAGTATTTGGATGTGTGTCTTATGTTCATGTGCCTAGGTAGACGTGATAAACATTTCAGTAGATGTATCTTTCTTGGATACTCCTCTACTCCAAAGGGATACAAATGTTATGATCCCACTACCATAAAAATGTATACTTCTAGTTAATTAGATAATAGTTTGGAAAATAGAACTTAGGAAGAGTGTTCAAGAGGTTGTTTGCCCCGGCCTAATATTAGTACCAGTGATGTGTTCATCACACCTGAAACAAGTCATGAAGATCAAAGCGAAGTGGAAGAACATCATGATGATCAAGTCGAAGTTGAAGAAACCTTTGAAACTCACCAAGCTGGTTTAGAAGAAGAACACTTCACCCCAACTGATGCCCCATTGCATAGGTCTTCTCGTAGCTCTCAACCTTCCTCTAGACTTCAAGATTTTTATACTTACCGTGCAATTTCTTATTCTAATCAAAATTATATTTCCCATGAAAATATCTCTCCTAGCTATTTTTTCGTTTTTGAGTTCCATCTCTAATAGTTCTGAGCCAACTAATTTTCAAGATGTATTTCTCAAACTGTGTGAAGGAAGACCCTATGGGGCCGTTCGGATACCCGGAAATATATTGTCTGTGAAATATATTACTGGCTTAATACATTACCTGTATATGGATTGTTATTGTTTGAGTAGTATTTAGATGCAACCTGGGAAATACATTGTTAATGTTTGGCTATGTCTGGAAGAAATATAGAAAATGCATTACCAACATTTTACCAACACGTGCCTATAAACTCTCATTTCTTTTTTTTTTTTCACAAAATTCCACTAAAATGCAGAATTATCATTTCCTTCTTTTTTGTCACAAAATTCTACTAAAATATTGAATTAAAATCATCATCACACCATTCCAAAAATATTTTTAATAATAACATATCACCATTCCAAAAAAAAAATTTAATAATAACTTGTACCATTTTACATTCATGACACTATTTCCTACTTATTTTAAGTGCCTTTGGCACTTATATGCAATCACATGTTTTCTAACATGACATTGGTTTTCACATGATAAGTCATTAGAAAAATATAATTGGAATAACATGATTTTATTATGATATGCCTTATTTTTATTTAGTTTTTATAGAAGTCTTTCAAATGTCTCTCTATATAATTTCAAATAAACAATAAATTTATGATACTAAATGTAAATTACAATTGATTACCACGTAACATTCCACTGTTTGGTTACACTTAATTGTAATGAAATGGAAAGAAATTAGGTGAGATTGCGCCAAAAATCAAGAAATCCATTACGCACGGTGATAAGTGAAAAATCTATTACGAGAACAACGGGTAATTTTGGGAAATTTTTACGTGTATTTTTGCCTACCCTATTCTTGATTAAAAAAATCTTCTAACCCCTCTATCTTCCTAATAACTAGGTGATCCCTTCCTTTTTAAGCTCGTCCCATCAACTATCATATAAAAACAAAAATAATAAAAATAAAATTCAGTAATCAATGATAAATTACGCAACACAATGATAATAAAAAATTTTACACAACATAATGTGATCCCTTCCTTTTTAAGCTTATCTCCTCATCTGAAGGCATCAATGTCATATAAAAACAAAAATCATAAAAATAAAAATCAGCAATCAATGATAAATTACATAACATAATTATAATAAAAAATTTCACACAACATAATCCTCATAAGAGATTACTAAAATCTCAATTGAAATAACATACCTCTTTAGTCTCCTCCAATACTTCAAAATTTTATATTGCAATTACCAAACCTTCTAGTTTACTAATCGAACTTCTTCCCATTTTTTAACTCGTACCCTACAGATTTTACATTTAGTATCATAAATTTATTGTTTATTTGAAATTATATAGAGAGACATTTGAAAGACTTCTATAAAAACTAAATAAAAATAAGGCATATCATAATAAAATCATGTTATTCCAATTATATTTTTCTAATGACTTATCATGTGGAAACCAATTTCATGTTAAAAAACATGTGATTGCATATAAGTGCCAAAGGCACTTAAAATAAGTAGGAAATAGTGTCATGAATGTAAAATGGTACAAGTTATTATTAAAAAAAAATTTTGGAATGGTGATAATGTTATTATTAAAAATATTTTTGGAATGGTGTGATGATGATTTTAATTCAATATTTTAGTAGAATTTTGTGACAAAAAAGAAGGAAATGATAATTCTGCATTTTAGTGGAATTTTGTGACAAAAAAAAAAAAATGAGAGTTTATAGGCACGTGCTGGTAAAATGTTGGTAATGCATTTTCTATATTTCTTTCAGAGATAGCCAAACATTAACAATGTATTTCCCAGGTTGCATCTAAATACTACTCAAACAATAACAATCCATATACAGGTAATGTATTACGCCAGTAATATATTTCACAGACAATATATTTCTGGGTATCCGAACGGCCCCTTAGGGTCTTCCTTCACACAGTTTGAGAAATACATCTTGAAAATTAGTTGGCTTAGAACTATTAGAGATGGAACTCAAAAACGAAAAAATAGCTAGGAGAGATATTTTCATGGGAAATATAATTTTGATTAGAATAAGAAATTGCATGGTAAGTATAAAAATCTTGAAGTCTAGAGGAAGGTTGAGAGCTACGAAAAGACCTATGCAATGGGGCATCAGTTGGGGTGAAGTGTTCTTCTTCTAAACCAGCTTGGTGAGTTTCAAAGGTTTCTTCAACTTCGACTTGATCATCATGATGTTCTTCCACGTTGCTTTGATCTTCATGACTTGTTTCAGGTGTGATGAACACATCACTTGTACTAATATTAGGCAGGGGAAAACAACCTCTTGAACACTCTTCCTAAGTTCTATTTTCCTAACCATTATCTAATTAACTAGAAGTATACATTTTTCTGGTAAGGGGATCATAACATTTGTATCCCTTTTGAGTTGAGGAGTATCCAAGAAAGATACATCTACTAAAATGTTTATCACGTCTACCTAGGCACATGAACATAAGACACACATCCAAATACTCATAAATGAGACAAATCAATTTTTTTATTTTTTAAAATTTCAAGGGAAGATTTATCTTTAAGAATTTTACTTGGAAGTCTGTTAATCAGATGGCAAGCAGTTAAAACAACTTCAAGCCAATAAATTTTTGGAACATGCATCTGAAACATAAAAATCCTTGTTGCTTCCAAAACATATCTATTTTTTCTTTCAGCAACTCCATGCTGTTGAGGTGTTGTAATAGACGATGTTTAGTGTATAATACCAAGATTCAGTAAATGCACAGAAAAGGCTTTGTTCACATATATGATAGTTGATGCCTTCTGATAAGGGACGAGCTTAAAAAGGAAGGGATCACCTAGTTATTAGGAAGATGAGGGGTTAGAAGATTTTTTTAATCAAGAATAGGGTAGGCAAAAATACACGCAGAAATTTCCCAAAATTACCCGTTGCTCTCGTAATAGATTTTTCACTTATCACCGTGCGTAATGGATTTCCTGATTTTTGGCTTAATCTCACCTAATTTCTTTCCATTACATGACAATTAAGTGTAACAAAACAGTGGAATGTTACGTGGTAATCAAACTGCTATGCATATAGCCTCCAATCCTGTTTTTCATGAAATAATCAAGCACATAGAAACTGATTGTCACTTTGTGAGAGAAAATATTCAATAAAAATTATTAATAATTATTATATTCGAAGTGAAGACTAACTTGCAGACATGTTTACCAAAGTTATTGCAAAGACGAAGTTCCATCAAATGTTGTCTAAGTTGGGCTCCATTGATATCTACGCGCCAACTTGAGGGGAAGTATTGATAGTTATAGAAACCAGATATTGAGTTTCCTATTATGTATATTATAAGATATTAAGTTTTCTATATTGAGTCCGATTTTGTGGGATTATAGTTGTAGTAAGATTTGTTTTCTAAACACAATAATTGTAATTTTATAAATCTCTGGTAAACCAAAGTAATTCCTATGCATGAAATACTGGTTTACCCTCCATGGATGTAGACCCATATATTATGTGTTGATCTATTTTCTCTCATATCCTCTCTATTTCGTTTATTGCAAACTCTACAGGTAGTCCAATCTGGTCCGGACTATGGAACATCACTACAGGTAGCCCGATCTAGAGTTGCTATGGAACTTACATACCCAATATTCCACGGTCCTAAAAGATATTCGTGGTTTTTATCCAAGGGAGTGATGGGTGGAGATGCTCATACAAAATCAAAAAATATTTGGAATAATAATTTACACAAATTTGTGTCATATTTCCCCTACACGTACAGTCTTAAAAACACTTCCCGTCCAAAAAAACAACAAGAGAGGATGCAAATATAAATAGTCTCTTCAGAACCCAGGGCTGGTCTAAACAAAGGGAAATTTCTACAAACCATTGAAGACTTGAGAAAGTGAGAGAAGAAGAAGAGTGAAGATTTTATGGTATCTGATATCTTTTCTACCATCTTACGAGCATTATGCTCATTATTCATGATGTTTTTGTTCTTCAAATTGGTTGAATTTGTGGTGAAAGTATGGTGGATTCCTCTTACAGTAACAAAGTTTATGGAGAAACAGGGGATTACAGGTCCCCCATACAAATTCCTCCATGGAAACAACAAAGAAGTTAGGCTGATGATAATGGAGTCAACTGCAAAACCCATCGATTTCTCTTATGATATTTTTCCTTGAGTTCATCCTCACTTCTACACTTGGATCAAAATCCATGGTAAGAGAAAGAGAAAGACAGAGAACCCAAGTGGGAGTTACAGGAAATTGTTAGTTTTTTGTTTGTGATTTTTTATGTTTCTTTCCATAATCTCAGGGAGTGTATTTCTTTGCTGGTTGGGCACAAGACCACAGCTTGTAGTCACTGAACCAGAGCTCATACGAGAGATTATCAACAATAAAAAGGGTGACTTCCAAAAACCAAAGAAGAATCCAATTGTGAAAAGGTTATTAGGAGATGGGCTTGTATTAGCTGATGGGGAGAAGTGGGTTCGCCATCGTAAGCTCGCTAACAAGGCCTTCAATGGAGAATCCTTCAGAGTAACTCCTCTTTTTTTTCTTCTCTCTCTCTCTATAGAGGGGCTGGAGTCGCGAGGGTAGCACCCCACACCCTAAATACTACCTTATAGTTTCAATTCCTACCACTAACACCATCCTACTAATACTCTCAAAAACTAACTCCCACTAATACTCTCAGAAACCTAACTCCTTATCAGTCCTAATCTGCCTCAAAATATGGGTAAAAAAAAAAAAGACATGGTTCTTTATTGGGTGCCGTTTGTATAGAGCCTAAGCTCTAAACAATCAAATTAAAGCCTACCTTCAAATAGTATCAAGAAATGTGGTTTTAATTTCGAAAATATTTGTGATAGCCTTAATATATATATTTATCTTTAAGTATAAAGTTTAAAGCTTTAAAAATATTGTAGATCGACTGATCTATGAAAACTTTAAAATCTTGAAAATTGATGGTCTAAAAATGCGTTACAAAATACACTATTTCCAAAACTTGAAATCCATTTTTTTCTCATGTTCAAGCATCTTGATGTCGAGATGATCAATTTGAGGATATTTGGGCATCAAAACAACCTCTTCTAGTGAAACTTTTAATATAAGCTCAAATTTGATTGTTTAGAGCCTCGGCTCTATATAGACTTTTCCCTTCTTTATTTTGCCACCTTCTTTACACCAAAGAAAAGTATTGTAACTCCTACGATGGGCCAGACATGGTTCCGAGTGTCATCAGTGTCCAATTAATAGATAAACGATGATGGAACGAGAGTGGCACGCACAAGAGTCACATGACCAGTGTGGTAGGTCCCATTTTCTCTCCAATAAGTACATCTATTGGATAGCATGGGATTGAAACTTTGATCTCAGATTCCTAAGATCATATGGTCATTATGCTTTCCCTCTCCTTCTTCTTTCAGGGGGGGGTGGGGCGGGCGGGGATCTTTACCTGTGCCACCATTGACATATGAAATGTATGCGAGTAGTACTGGCAATGGGTTAGGTGGTGGGGCTAGGCATAGTCAGCCTAGCCATCAACATGTAGGGCTTGGACCACAAAAATGTAGCCCAAGGGCAGGGCTGGACTAAGACGATGACCACGATACGGCTAGCCTCGTTTTTTCTTTTTTGGTCTGACTTCACCGGGCCAAGTCCTTTTTGGCTTGGGTCTAGCACAGCAGGCCCCGCCCAGGCTTAGCCTTTTGCCAGCCTTACATGTCATCCGTATTTTCAGCTATCCAATTTAAATGGAAGATTGGTATAACATCAGGCTTAATGTCACAAATGAATTCTAAGTAACTCATCTTTATCTGATGGCTCACACTATTTTATTCCTTATTTTTAATTTATTCATTGTTTTGTGGTGAAAGTGGGACATGCACACTTCTCACATGTTAGATGCCCCAAATAAACTTCACGTAGTCATTTATGTTTGACATATGCCCCATGTAAGCTCGGGCTGAATTGGTTAACGCTTGACGATTTGCTTTCCTACTTAGGGTAGGGGCCTTCTCCCCGCTAACTCACCAAAAAAAAAAAAAAAGGTCTCTTGTGCATTCTCGTTCATTAAAAACAAATAAAACGTTGTGCCGTGGCTAATCATAGTCCCATACATTGCAATTGTTAAAGCTTGGGCCAAGAAATTGGCGAACTTGGTCTAATAAGGGTGAGGGACGCAAACTTTCTTTTAAACTAAAAGTTTACCACATCTTATCATAAATCCTAAACCGGTTTTAGTCTTATCGAGTGCATAACTCTTGATAGCGCAGAATAGAAAAACATGACTCATGTAGCCAACTCCAAATAATTGAAATAAAACTTAGATGATGATGAACCATTCTAAATACATGACTTTTGTGGCTTGCAGGTTATGCTTTTGAAAATGGTAAAAAGCATTGAAGAAATGTTAAGCAGATGGAGAGATTACGAAGGGCGAGATACTGAAATTTTCAGTGAATTTCGGGTTTTGGACGTTATTTCGAGGACAGCCTTTGGGACCAATTATTTACAAGGAAAAGATATGTTCCATTTGTTGGCAAAGCTGGGAAAGATAGCCGTTTCGAATATACGGAAAATCAACTTTGCCGGTAGTGGGTAATATTCTCTCCATATTAATGTGGATTATTAAAAAGGACTGCTGCTAGAGTGGTCTCACGCAACCATCCTAGAACATGGTCTTGCACCCAAATCACATGGGTATGTATTTTGGTCTGTGAGGGAGAGACCAACCTAGCACAACACGCGTGGTCTCGCAGTCAAAACATGTGGTTACACTGATTTTTTTTTCTGGGTGAGTTGGGGAGAGGGCCCCTACCCTTGGTTACACTGATTTCTCATAAGTGACAAATTTTTAAGTTGTTTTTTACTCACCTTGTGATTTTTGATAACTTTACATAGCAAAAACTGATTTTTAGCCCTTAAAACTCACAGTCTCTCAAAATAATGTTCCAAAATCAATAGTTGTAGGAGATTTGATTAGGAAGATTTTGAGCAACAAATCATCTACTTCTTTCTAAGTGATCTTAGGAGTGAATAAGTATACTGCAAAAAAAAAAATTCAAATAAAAAATGTCCCTCTAATTATGTTTATGGGGTGCCACAACTTTTGTACAGGGAGCCCTCACCAAATCTATTTCCTTTGGGAAATGGGAAAAGTGTTTTATGCGTCGGGGACACAATCCTGCATGGGCGTCCTTCGGACGCATCAAACATCATGGATGTAAATTGTTTGTCGATCAAAAAAATCTAAAAATCAGAGGTCCATAAGTTTTCTTCAACATTAATTTTAGAGATTATACTAGGATGCATAAAAACCATGTGTATTTAAATTGTAAATTTTAAGAATATTGTTTATTCCTTTTAAAAATTACAATTTAAATTTTAGGGAACTTTTACTATGCAGTCATTTTATCATCGTGCCAACAGTCAAATGTCAAGAAGAGACAACTTAGATGACGCGTTCCGTTAAAAGCTCGAAGTTAAAAAAGAGAACGAAAAAAAGGTAAAAGATTTTACCAACATGGTACT